CAGATGCAGGTAACTTAAAAAGCTGACTTGCTTATCAACAGAGGAAATGACCACAGATTTGGCCATTGGAAGATGAAAGGAAGGAGGGAGGAACAAGGCAGTTGGCAAGAAAAGAGCCAGCAGCTGCTACAGCATGAGTAAAAAGTGAGTTTGTTTGCTTCCCTATTGTTCAACTGAATTTCTTCATGATCCCATTGCATAGAGGAGAACTGCTCCAGATAAAGTCGAAGTGTCACTTACATCAAACAGTGTTGTAGTGTGGTATTCTGCAGATTCAGTCTGGGGCTAAATTATGCAGGACAGGCATGCGGAATTTGGTCATCCAGCATGAAGGTTGTCAAGTGATTGAGAGAGATAAGGTTGAAGTCTACCAGTATGCTGCTTTTCGGGGGACAGAGAATCCCTTCTGGCTTGTGGCTTGAAGCAATTGCATAGGAATTTACCCACCGTTTGAAGACTAAATTATGCTAACTGCAGTCTTGCAGCTTTCTGTCTCCAAGAGCTGGCTAAAAGGAAGGACAACATCCCAACATTAACTATTAAGCCAGCTCAGATGTTGCAATACTCAGATCAAAGGTCTGCAGAGATCTGGAACATCTATTCAGGGCTCAGAGATCCATCATACGTGCATACATATAAATGACAGCTCACATTAAGTGAAAAAGAACCGTACAGTGAGTTTGAGTATATGAAAATTTCAAAGCAGTTATAAATCCAACGTTACATGCAAAACAATGGTGCTTCCTTGTATTGAAAATCTTTCCTTCCTTTGTTGTAAGTCAAAAGTTTAGCAAAACTGATGTATGCCAAAGTTATTTGCAAAAGCTGGAGTAGATTAAAAAAAAAAAAAAAAAAAAAGCTAGGAGTAGCTAACAATAGTGACACATAAGGGATTGTGCTGCTCCCAGTGTTAAACATATGAGATAATATCAACATCGTCTCACGAAACTCCGGATCAGACTCCTGGCCAATTAACTTACAGAAAGGCAAGGCACCAGGATTTCTCTTGAAATGTTGAGGGTTATCATGAAAAATGGATAAGGGAGGGAGAGAAAAAATAGCTTTGTGTTCACCTTTTAGGAGTTAGTTCAGCTCATACAAATCTTCACAGATTATATCCTATAGATAGGTAACAGTGGTGAGTCAGGCCCTCCGCTGATGTGAAGTATTATAGCTCCATCTGAGTTTTCAGAAACTACATGTATTTCTGGAGGTTGAAGTTGTGGTCCTATGAGAGTTTCTACTTTGCCTTCTACCTGCAAGTATGTACAAAGGCAGTGAGTCAGATCACTGGGTGCTGAAGGAGAACACTGCTGTGCGCTGCTGCGTATGTACATTATTTAGCATAATAGGGTCTTAGTTCTGAATAGTGGCTTTTACCTAGCAAAACAGACAAGTTCATAATGTACCGGGTCAGAGGAACTTCAGGACACTGATTAGGCTGGGTATTTTTTTCTTGAAAGCAATGTTGAGTAAATATAAGCTTCTATGTGAAAAGTATTTTTAAATAACATCGAATAGCTCTGAATAAAACACTTAAAACCAGACTGACTGCCTAGGGATTTCCTACTTGCTCAATTCCACTTTAACTATATTTACAGAGGGACTACAACTGTTCAAAAACAACCAAAATGTTTCAACACATCTTTTATCATAGCAAACATGCTGGTTTGGTTTTTCACTCAGAAATTATTGATCTGGTTTTATTCATGCTTTTCAAAAAAGCTTACCTTGCCTGTAGAGAGGTCCAGTCTGAAGGGTAAAATTAGAAGGGATCTACAGGCAATTTGAAAAAACCTGCTAGAATGCAAATGGCTCGTACAGTTTTACCTCAGGCATCCCTTCGTACCCTGCCTTTAGCAGCGGGACACACCTAGAGCTGCTCCCTTCTGGGGCCCAACTTGGCTCTAGAAAATCAGAACTGTTTATGTTTTTTGGCAGATTCCAGATTTGAAGAAGTTGAAGACTACTCCCATCTCTCCCGTGGATCACTGACGTCTGCAGAATCCAAATTTGATTACAAAGACCAGCCAAGACCCCGAAAGAAAAACACCCAAAGACAAACAACACGCAAAGGGAAGCCGTGCTGGATGCTGTGGATGGTGAGTGCCATGTTGGAAACTGCTTCTCTCTGGTGCTGAGCCACCAAAGCAAGCACGCCGCTGTTGAGCCAGCTCTAGGCCTATGAATTGCACAGAAAGTTCAGAAGTTTTATGTACAGTATGTACTCATACATGTGGGTCCACTGTGGCCTGCACCGTTTAATTTCAGAGCAACATCCATCTTTTTAAAAGTGATCTTTAGCCGTTATTTCTAGATGGCTGTCCCCTTTCAGAAAACTTCCATCTCCTTCCAATATCACGTTGGCATGAAAAGTTAACACCCCACAAGTCAGCTGTCTGCCGTTAGCAGCCAGAACACCTCCTCCCCAACTCAAATGTTATCTCCTCTTCATCTAAAATTACGGTAATTAGCCGCAGCGTCCACGCTGGAAGTGGAAACCGCAGCGAAACGAGGAACTGGAACAGTCTACATTCATTTCCCAAGGTGTACACACTTCGGGGAGGAGAGAAGATCTGAGCGGACATTTCCAAGCGCTCGCTAGCGAAGTTGTGAGGCGGGACGGGGCGCCCGTAGGTTGCGAAAACCTCCGGTTCTCCCCCCACACCCCCCCCCCCGCAGCGGCACCTGGCAACCAAAACGCGCCTTTGCCGGAGGGAGGGAAGCGCTTTCGGGAACCCGCGCGTGTGTCAGTCTGCGTGTGTGTGTGTCCACCGGCCGCCCTCCGCTTGCCTCCCGGCGGCAGTGCCCCCCTCCCCCGCAATCTTCCCCCCTCCCCTCCCGGGAGCCGGCCGCGGGGGAGGAGCGGAGCGGAGAAGCGGAGGAGCCTGACGGCGCGGCCGCTCGCCGCCAGCCCGGCCGGGCCCGCGGGGAGGCGGGTGGCGGGGCGGGCGCGCCGGGCGGGGCCGCCCCCGGGCCTCTCCCGCCGCCCCACGGCATGGTCGCGCCCGCCCCACGGCGCCCACGCCCCGCGCCTGCCGCCCGCCCGGGCCAGCGGGAAGATGGATGGGCACGTCCTGGGATGGATCGTCCTCCTGTGGCTCGCAGGTAGGGGCCGCGGCCGTGGGGGCGGCCCTCGACCTGCGCCCGGGTCGTGCCCAGCGGGCTCTGCCTCTTTGGGGCGTTAAAACGGGAGGTTTGGGGAAATGCCCCCCCCCCCCCCCCCCCGCTAGGCTGCGGGAGGGAAGCCGGCGGCGGGATGGGAGTCTTTTCGGAGCCGTCCCGCGGTAGTTTGCGGAGACTTCGGGGAGAGGGCTGGTGGCGCCGCTGGGGACGGGGAGAGAGGCGTCCCGGCGCCTTCCGCCTGCCCGGGGCCGGTCCGAGGGGCCCACGGCGCTTCTACCCGCGGGGGGCGCTTGGGCCGCCCGTTACTGCGGGGAGGGGCGGGAGCCGGCCCGGGGAGGCAGCAGGAGCGCGGCGCGGGGAGGGGGGGGGGGGGGCCGAGTGTCCTTGGCCGCGGTGCGGGGGGCGGCGGGGGAGATGGCGACAGCCCTCGGCTCCCCCCGCCCGCCCACGCCGGGCCGGGAACAATTGCAGGAACTTCTCGTTCCCCGGCGTCCTAGCCGCACACGCCGTCTAACGGAGGTGTGAGAGGAGGGGGCTGCCCTGCCTCTCTCCCCGCTGCCGGGGAGGGTGGGGGGGGCAGGATCCGGCCTCCCCGGTGATGGTGCAGCAGTGCCCTCCTGGCCTTCGGGAGCAGCACAGGGTGGGACTGCCGGCACTGCCTCCCCCCCGGCGCGGCTCCCGGAGAGGTCGGAGCAGCCCTCCCTTAGGCAAGGGGGAGGGGAGCCGGAGAAGGAGGGCAGCCAGGGCTCTGTGATGGGGAGAGGGCAGGGGGAAGAAGCTGGGAAGGGGCCGGGTCTGCGAGCTGGACAGCGAGGAGAGGAGAGGGTAGGGGGTTGCAGCGGAATGAGAGCGGCAGGGCAGCCGGGAATCGGGGAGAGAGGAGGACCCTGTCAGGTCAGCGGCAGGAGCTGCCGCCGGTGCGGCACCCAGGGACAGGCGGGAGCAGGAGGCTTTAGGAAAAGCTGCAGCAGGCTGACTTAGGCAGGCAGGCTGGTTCCAGGCTGAAAGAAGAAACCGACACACTTGGATTAAGTGGCATATCTCCCACCACCACCGATGTATCCCACAGAGAAGACCTCAGGCTCTTCCCTCTTCCTATTCAGATTTATGATTCACAAGCAGTAAATTCGGCTTTTAGGCATAACACCTCTCTCCCACCACCCACCCACCCACCCTCCCCTCTCCTTGCTTTTTCACTCTGAGTCATCTTCGGCACCGGTGCCTGCCTACTGCTCCCTTCCAGGGTTTCACGGCCTCATCTGGGGCTTTGGCAGCTTCCAGCTCATCCTCCCTCTTTGCTTCTCTCCCTGCTTCCCTCCCTGCCATTTGGCTGCTTCTGAACATACCCCGCGTCACTGAGTTGGTCTGGAGTGCCAGCGCACCCACAACTACCGCTCCTTTCCTACTAGCCATAGTAGTGTGCTGATAAATAGCATCCAGGGACTGGTAAAGGAGTATGGGGTGTAGATAAACATGACATTACATTCCTCCCCCCTTTTGAAAGGGCTTCATTATCTGGACATGTCTGGCTAGATCAGGACTTTTCCATCAAGCTAAAAAGCTGGGCAGTTGACACTTTTCTCCCTCCATTAAAGGTAGTTCGTGATTACTGGCAGTGACCGACCGCCGTTTAGAGCATGCAGGGTCTGTGCGGAGAGGGAGAGGTGCCGCTGCAGTAGGAAGACCTTCCAGTCTCCTCTAGTCCTGGGCTTTTGAGACAGGACTGCCTGCCGCTGGTGCTGTCGGCTGCTGGCAGGCAAAGGCTTCCGGCAGGCAACAGGTTAGCCGTAGCCGTGTGCTGAGAGATGGGAGGCAGCCAGTGTCAGCTTGCTCCCCTCCAGCCTCTCGGCCGCTGCCGCCCAGCGATAGAGCAGGCGCTGCTGTCCTTTTTCATGGCTGAGAGAAAGCGAATAAGCAACGGTGTGTGTCTGGGGGGGGGTGAGCGTGAGTTGTGTACGTGTGTGCATAGAAAAGGGAGAGAGGGTAGCAAACATGGATTCAAGATTTTCCTCTCCCCAGTGGCTGTGCAAAGGAATGAAAGGTCTGCATCAAGGTAAGGAGCCCTAATCCAGCCAGAGTGGTACACTCCGCTCTGGGAAAGAGAAGTGGGGGTTGGGAAGTGGAGGGGCCAGGGTAAGAGACAGAGTGCAAGATGGGGAGGAAGCCAGGAGACAAAAGGGAGCAAGAAAGAGAGAGAGAGGCTCTCACCCCCTTCTCTCCCCTCCTCCCTCTTCGAGGTGGGCTGAGAAATTTCTAATCAGTACTCGCAGTTCCTTTCCTCCCAGCAATAATTCCTCTCTGTCCTTTGTTTGTCTTCAGTTTTTGGCTCTTGCATTTATCTGTTGTTTGTTTTTCTGCATTGTGACTTCTTACTGCAATTTCAAAAAAATCTTGTGTGAGGTACGATGGATTTGGTTCGGCTTCTCTTCCTCCTGCCCTGCTCTCCCACATGCCTAAAGCTAGTGTTTTAATAACAACAGCAAAAAGATGAAGAGCAGGTCATCCTTTATTCCTTCCTGTGAAGTGACATGGGTTAGGAAATGCATGGGACTTTGTTCTTGTTCTAGAAAAATAAGATACAATTTGTCAAGTATCCTTAAACCCCTGTGTAAAACCGGTTGTAAACTACCAAGAGGAGCTTGATTCTGGAATGAATCCTCCCCTTGTGTTTACCATTATTCGTACGAATAGAGTAATTCCTAATGCATTTAAAACTAGAGAGAAGGGTTGCACTGGAGACTGAACTCCAGTTGTACCTACAGAACAAGCAGAGCAAATTTTTTTCTTCCTTATGATTCAGGCAAAGCTTGGAAAGATTACAGTTAGACTGTCCACACTGAAATGTGATCTTCTCTCCCTGTTAAGTAATTTTTCACCAGTAATTTAGTATTCAGTACCTGTCTACTCTCCCTGCGTGGGAGAACCACTGCAATGCTATGGTATAGTACAAAGGTGGCTAGATTTACTACCTCTGCTTTCCCAGCCACAGTTTAGGAGGGTAGGCAGAGGGGGCATTCTGGAGCACGGTTGTACTTTGCTCTTTCCTGGCTTACTGAGTAGACTTCTTGGGAAGGCAGGGAAATGGATGGACTGTTTTATCTGACTTGGTTTAAAGTATTCATCTGACTTCCCTTGACGGGCTGCACACAGCATAAGTGTAGTGTAACTGGGAAGAAATATCACATTTTTCATATTTTTTGTTCATGTGAGGTGACCTTTTGTGTGACTGGCACCAGTGGAAATCCCAATGCCATCCCAAGGACAGGTGTTATAGCTTGGCGTTATAAGACTTGGAGAGACTCTTACCGTTTCTTTTCCTTCATTAAGATCAGCCCTGCAGAGAAGGATTTGGGAGTAGTAGTGGATGGAAAACTGACCGTGAGCCAGCAATGTGCACTCACAGCCCAGAAAGTCAACTGCATCCTGGGCTGCATCAAGAGCAGTGTGGCCAGCAGGTCGAGGGACGGGATTTCCTCCTCTACTCTGCTCTCATGAGACCCCACTGGGAGCACTGTGCCCAGCTCTGGGGCCCCCAACATAAGAAGGACACAGACCTGCTCAAGCGGGTCCAGAGGAGGCCACGAAGATGACCAGGGGGCTGGAGCACCTCCCCTGTGAGGCCAGGCTGAGAGAGTTGGGGCTGTTCAGCCTGGAGAAGAGAAGGCTCCAGGGAGACCTTACAGCGGCCTGCCAGTGCTTAAAGGGGGCTGCAGGGAAGGTGGGGAGGGACTCTTATCAGGGGGTGTAGTGATAGGGCAAGGGGCAATGGTTTTAAACTGAAAGAGCGTATATTCAGACTGTATATAAGGAAGAAACTCTTTCCTGTGAGGGTGGTGAGGCACTGGCACAGGGTGCCCAGAGCAGCTGTGGCTGCCCCCTCCCTGGAAGGGCTCAAGGCCAGACTGGACGGGGCTGGGAGCAACCTGGGCTGGGGGAAGGTGTCCCTGCCCGGGGCAGGGGGGGTGGGACTAGGTGATCTTTAAGGTCCTTCCCAACCCAAACCATTCTGTGATATGTTCTCAGGCTTCTGGTGGTGACCAGTTGCTGAGTGGTAGTTCTGGGAATGATTTATGGGATGCTGAACCAAGACTGTAAACCAGGAGCCATCTGACAGTTGTAACAGCTTTCAGACAGTAATAAGATGGGATGGGTTTGATCTGGTGGCCAAAGCTGAGATAATTCACCTGAAAACATCCAGGGTGACCTTTGTGAATGTGTGAAAAGGGGTAGGTCATAAGAGAGTGTAATGAGCACGGGAAAGCTGGTGAAGAGAGACCGATACCTAGAAAAGCCCATGAAATGTCCCGAGCTCTTGTTAAAGAGCTCTTATGCAGTCCTTGCTATTTCAGGGCTGTTACTTCCCTAGAGAAGTCAGGAACATGGAGCACTGGGGGACAGCATCACTGGGAATGAAGAGCAGCAAGGAACAGTCCAGTGTCTACTCCAGTCAGTTTGGAGAGTCTGGGCTGTGTCCTGTGTGGAGTGTTTTTGCACTGAGGTTCTGTGCTGGGTGGGCAAGGCCATGCTTTTCTCTGACTGCTTTGGTTTTGCCCCTTTCCAGACTAAGCTGTTAGGGAGCTGAAATTCTTGGGTTTGCTATGGAGCTGTAAAAAGTAGTATCATCCTTTCACTTCAGCTGCAGCTGACCTCTTTAGGCATTGGTTTCTTGCTGGCTAAAAAAATTGACAGTGGCCATGGAGCTAAGAGCACAAGTTTGATAGGAACCAGACCAAGACAGCCAATTCATTTCCTATAAGCCACTCAACACAGTCTGATGATGATGGCTTTTGCTGATAAATTGCATGCATGGATTGGATTTAGTCCAGCATGAGTAAGCAAGAATCAGTACAACACCATCTCAGTGATCCTACTAGCTCTCCATTCACCTGTTAACGTCTCTGTTTATCATTTCTGACTTTTCAGTCTGGAAGCCCAGATCTTGCGCTTCCTGATTCAGGCTTGATCCGCATTTGAAAGTGTGGATGGTGTGCCTGTGTTCAGCAGTGGGGAAAGAACACTTTTAATTGATGCAGAGTAGCCAAGGCACAAAAAAGAAAGATATATCATCCTTTTGACTAACAGTTTATTTTGTTTGGGGAAGTGATATAAACTACCCTAGGAGCACTGTCTGTTACCAGTGAACATATGCTTTTCAGCCAAAGCCCTGCCAAAGGTATAGTCTAGGAGTGGTTTTCATGAGATGCCTGGTTCAGGGCCCAAGGACTTCCATTAGCCTGTGTGCACAACTGCCATTCCTGTCAGTAAAGGTGCATAAAATGAGGGGATGTAATTTTTGTAGTTTCATAGCATCAACTGTACTGCCTCGGGCAAGTGGTAGCATGAGCCAAATAATTGCAAAGAAAGAGATGTGATGCATGCACAGATAGGGAGACCCATGCTGACCTAAAAATAATGTGTGCTGTCTTCTCTTGCGTTCAAATCTTGCATGCTAGAAGGATGCAGTCTGAGACCTATTGCAATGAGCTGTAGCATTTAGCCTTGCCATTACTTACAGGGATTAGTGCTTCAGATCAACTTTATTCTAACTAGGTGATCTTTAAGGTCCCTTCCAACCCAAACCAATCCATGGTTCTATTCATAAAGGCAAAGTTAAGGCTATGTAGTGAAGCTGAATCTTCTTAGGATTCATCTAGACTCAGGGAGGCAGTAGGCTTCCTCAGAGGGCAACTGAAAAGCAAGAGCCCAAGTTATCACCTCTCAGTTGCCTTCTCTCTTTCACTCATGGAAGGTGCTTATGAAGATCAGGCTCACAAGGCTCAAACGCGCCTTTACAATATCCCCTCTATAATCACTTCCTGGAATTTTCTTTAATCACCACTAAAATGTATTAGTTATAGTTTGTGTGTAATGCTGATTGCATAGTTTGAATGCATAATCTGAGGATAGTTTAGAAAGAGAATCAGAGAAAGGAGATAAATACACATTGCCAATGAGAAACAGACAAAACTCATACAATTATATTTCTGAAGTGTGATTATTTTTAAGCTCTTTCTTTGGGAGTATACATATATATACACATGCACAGACACACAAAACCATGGAGTCTTTTATATTCTGAGAGTAAGGGTATCCGTGGTTTTAAGATGCAATTGATTAATATTTGCAGACCTTTTTCTGGGGATTTAGGAGAGCAAGAAAGAAGGCAAGCAAAATTGTCATGTAGTCATGAGACTCCCACGAGCTAGATTTTTCATGTGAAAGCTCAAACATTGTGAAATTCACAATGAACAGGTTGTTTCTCTGGAGTGCAGGAATTACATTTCCATGATGATTTTGAAATAAGGGCTAATCTTGCTCTGTCTGCATTAGTCAAAACATAGCAGAGCACAATTCAGTTTCTTTTTAGTCCTACTTGTACAAAACTAGACAAAGAGCTATCATGGTGCTGTCACTAAGCTTGTCATCTTTTTCCACATCTCACTCTTTTTTGCTCTGCTGTACAAACAACCCAGAGTTCTGTCCTGTGATATATCTGAAGCTCTTCTTATCTCGTCTAGTCTCTTGAAGATTTTTGAGGTCAGCAGTTTCTTTTTGAAGTTGAGGAAGTCCTAAGCAGAGCTTTATAATTCACGTGCATGGACATAACTGATAGGTGTAAAGCCACCATCAGGCAGTCAAACGTCCTTTTGGCCTTTTTGATGGATGCTGTTGCAGCAGTGATGTACTATATGAATTGATTCCAATAATTTTTTTTTTTGGCAGAGGAAATAACAGGTGTATAATTTCCCAGTTCAACCTTATATAATTATATATAATTTGACTTAAATAGATCTAGAGTTTCCACTGCTCCAGTCTCTCCATCTGAGGCACTGTGTTGCTCTTAAATGCTGTTTCTGGAAAGCATCTGAACATAATACTTGAAAAGTTAACAAGGAGCTTGGGACAGGATATAGAAGATGCCAGATAATTTACTGCACATCTCTCAAGTGCTTTTGGGTAGAAAAAGAATTCCTGTGTTTTCCCCAAATCTGCTTTTCTTTCTTTTCTAGATACAGACATTCACATGGGGGTATGGTAGGGAAAGTTAGTCAGATGTGAATTTGCTAAAGCTCAGCTAATCATTTATTAAGGCAGTCCCTGGCTTGCCAAACTCATTAATCTCATTAACAGGGAAGGAGGGTTACGTTGCATGGTTAGTTGAAAGCACTGTGTTTACTAAGCAGTGTACTTCGTTCACAAGGGAAAGATTTAAATATTCCCTGTGTCACTGTTTTATCCCCAAAGCTGAAGTAACGTGATGAGTCACTTGATCAGCTCATGTCACATGCCAGCTTTGGCCACAGACTGCGTGGGGTCAGGCACAGAGTTGCCAGATACAGGTCTGACCCGGACCCATTCGTTTTTCAAGGTGTTTCTTGCATTCAGATGCAACCTGGGAAGCACGGGTCCCTGGAGAGGAGCGAATAGGACAATGTCACCACTTGGTTCACCTTGAGAAGCAAGCGGTGACATCCTCTTAGTGCCGCATGGCCCCCACGTTTCTGCCCCTCTAGTCCCTGGGAACAGGAGGCCTGGCAGAAACTCGCTGCCTACGCCTCGGGAAGGTGGAGGAGCTGCCTTATGCACCGGCCTCTCCTGTGGGAGCATCTTGCTGGGACCTCAGCTGTGTTTTGTGGTACTCTGGAGAGCACCCACACTTCAGCGTTTGGTCCAGGCACTTCTGGCAAAACTAATGACATCTCTGCAACTTCCACATGGCACAGGTACAATATGCATAATGTCATGCATTCATTATATGCATAATATAGCATTTTTTGTGCGAATGCCATGGCACCCTTGTGCACTGCGAGGCTTCATGTAGTGGTCCCCAGGGTCAAATCCTGCCTAGATCAGTAACTCTTTGTTAGTATCAGTGGCTATCTTGCCTCTCTGAAATATGCTTTCCCCTAGGTTCTGTCCATACTGTGTTTTTATCCCCTTATAAACTTCATTGTGATTTATAGTTTAGATATTGATAACTTGATGAAATAAATATTCAGTGTTGATCCAGCCTCTTCACTTTCTTTTGGTTCTGACTCCTGATCATGAGATCTCTGCTTGCTTTTGCTTTTCAGGTCTATAGCTGTCTCCAACTTGACCTTGTCCTTTCATGCTGGCTGTTGTCATACTGTTGATGCATTTCTTGCTCTCTGCTTTAAGCTTCAGTGTTTTAGTCTATGCCTTTTTTTTTTTTTCCCCATCCTAAAGATATCTCCTGTCATTTCACTTTCTTTTGCCAGCTTCCATCTCCTTTTCATCTCTAGTTTCTGGAGCGGGTGGTTTATTTTTGCTGACTCCATTTCATCTCATCTCTACATCATTTCTTAATCTCCTGCAACCTGGCTCCAGCCCTTTGAAATTATTTTGACCTAGGGTGAGATAGGTTCTTCAGCTTCTTCCAGCTACACGTAAACTTGCTACTTCCATGACTGTCATCCCGATTATCCTTCTGCTTCCTATACTTACCCTGATACTTAATCCTTACTCTGTTTTCTTCTTTCTTGGCATTTGTCCTTCTCTCCCACTGCTTCCTGACATCAGGAAGCTTTTCTTTGTCCTCAGTATTTCATCCCTCCCTAAGCTTTGCCTAAGTCCATCAGTCCTTCCTGATGTTGTACAACCATCCTCTTCTGCTTTATTCTCTTCAGTGTTTCCTTGTGTCTTGTCCTCTTTTTCACTGTGCACTGCTTAGGGCCTTGGGGTGTACAGTAACTGGGTGTAGGGAACTGCCATCATCAACATTACCCACACTGAAACTGGTTCCCTTTTCTGATACAGACCTCCCACTGTCAGGCCCTTATTCTCCTCAGCTGCAGAGAGTGCCTCTGGTTACACACTTCTTCTTTCTTAGATGTCCACCTCCTTGCTCCTGGGCAGTTTCACTGTCTCCACAGGCTGGCACATCCCTGCATGGGAAGGTGTCAGCGTGTGTTTCCACTGCTCTCTGTCACTGCTGCTTGCAGCACAAGAAGGAGGGAAGGAACGAAGGGCGTGCCTGGGAGGTTTTGGCCATTCCCTTGCAGGTAGATGGAGTACCTCACTCTCATGAGGGCTCCCTGCTGGCATCGCTCACTGACTCTTGGCTTCTCCCTAAGCTACACAAGGATGTGGCAGCAGTCCCATGCATCTTCTCTGAGGCCTTAATACATCAGCTCCAGGCTGCAGCTCTCCTGTCAACTGGTATATAAACATTACGTGTTGAGATCCATCTCCTCCCTGGGAATGTGAAAAACTTGAGTGTTTGGGCCATTTTTCTCTGCAGCTCCCACATGGAGCAATTTCTCTCAGTGCTGCATGCCAGCCCTGGCAGGAGCTGTGTGATTTGGATCCGCTCCTTCATGCATCTCTCGAGTTTGGCAGAGCAGGCAGCAGTAACTGGGCACCAGTGCACAAGGGGCTGGGCTGGGCACTGTGTGCTGCCTGACTTTCAAAGAGGAGGTGTGATGCCTCTGAAAGCGGGAGAGGGGGGGAGTGACTTATTCTACATTGGGATTGTTATGAACTCAGGATATGGTCCTTGGCTGACCTACTGTAGAAGTGGAGTATGGCCATCCCTGAAATATCTCTTCCTTATCTGTGAACCTGCCACAGAAGCCGTGAATTGTCATGCCACCGTGTTAGGGTCTCCACAGAGCATAAGGATACTACATTTGGGCCCTCAGCCCCATTGTGCTGTATTTTTCCTTGTGGCTGTAGGCTATGAAAAAAGCAAACTTACTTCTGCTGCCAACATCTGTGCTTATGTACATTGAGGAGTATTGCACCCTAGCACCTGAAACAGATGGACATTTTTCTTTTATGTAACTGGGGAGAATGATGCTATGATAAAATGCAGTAGCACTTCAAGCAATGCCAAGGTATATGACACTCATGTTTTTGTCTTTTAGCTGAGGTGGAAGGGTTACAGGTCACTGTGCCTGAGAAGAAGAAGGTGGCCATGTTATTCCAGCCTGCTCTGCTTCGCTGCCATTTCTCTACTTCTTCCACCCAACCAGCTGTGGTACAGTGGAGGTTTAAATCTTACTGCCAGGACCGGATGGGAGAAGCTTTGGGTATGGCGACTTCTGGTTTACAAACGATGAGCAAGAGGAACCTGGACTGGGATCCCTACCTGGACTGTGTGGACAGCAGGAGGACAGTCCGTGTTGTGGCCTCCAAACAAGGATCTGCCGTCACTATAGGGGACTTTTATAAGGAAAGAGATGTCAGCATTGTCCATGGTAACTTTTCTACCCCCGTGATGCTTGGTGGGGGTTGGAATGGACCCTTAGCAATTTGGGGTACTGGAGGTTGGCAGTAATTGTTTGGTTAACTCTTGTAGAAAAGGCTGCTGGAAGGGAGCTGGTGTATGTCAGACATTTAAGATTCAACCAACCAACCCACCCTAGACCTAAAGGTCATTTCCTTTGGCGCTTCCCTTCATCTGACTCCATGTATGTCTCCAACCCTGATAGAGTATTCTTTTCCCTTTGATGAGGTGGAAGGTCTTTATTCTTGGCTTCTGCATATTGTGCTGTACATGGATTTTCCTTAACAAAAGGGTGCCAGCAAGAAAGGTGTGAAGAGATCTCCATGGGGTGAAGACAAGTTGGATGGAGATGGGGGGTGGCAGGGTCCTTAAACATTTGGTCTGGAAGGCTGTGTGAGAAACCTTGTCCCTCAAAAGTACAAGGCTTCTGCTTGACTCAGGAGACCACCTAGCCAGAAGTGGAGGCTCCTTGGTGTGGACAGCATATGATCAGCCTCAACAAGGGGGAGTATTTTCCTTTGTCTCCATGTAACCTCTTCAGCGGACGACTGAAGTGCTGTAGAGGAGATGCTGTCTATGCCCTTCTTGCATGTCACAAATACTGTTGGGACCTCAGGCCTTAGGTGATAGGAAGGACAGAGAGTGGCATTAGTTACCCCTTCTGCTCTCGGCATTTGCAGAGTGAGCTGCCTCTGCGGCTTTACCAGTCTTCCCACTTACAGCCACAGAGTCCTGAGCCTGTTGGTTTTTCCTGAATGCTGTGATATTCTGCATAAGGTTAACCCCTCTTCTTAGTAAGGAAATGAAATGGGTTTGGGACACAGAGATGGACCCAGTGCTTTCAACACTTCACTATTCCTATAGGTGTTGAAAGGAAAGCCTGACTTTTCTTTTTTGCCTTTCAGATGCAGACCTACAGATTGGGAAGTTGATGTGGGGAGACAGTGGGCTCTATTATTGCCTTATTATCACACCGGATGATGTGGAGGGCAAGAATGAAGAATCAGTGGAGCTGCTTGTGCTTGGTAAGCCCTCCTGACAGACTGCTTTTTCATCAGATAGCTGGTGTATCTTTCCTTCTGCTTTCTCACTCTCTCTACATATCTGTGCACCATATTACTATGGGTGTAAGATCTATGTGAAACAGTCTCTGCAGTACCTTCACCATTGCCTTGCACCTTGTGCAGTCATTCACACCTAGGCAAAGTGGGTGGCAAACACTACCAAACCAGAATAGTAATGTTTACACCCACATTGCTCACACGTTACACAGGCATAAATGACTGCAGAAAGTGCAGGGCTGTAGAAAGTCAGAACCCTTGTTTTTAAGTCCTAAAACAATAAACTTGCAGCGAAGTGAACACTTGAGACAGAGTCTTTTAAAAATAGACACCCAGAAGACATCAAATCATATGCTTTTTGCAGTCTTTTGACATTGCTTTCGTCCCACTCTTCTGACCTGTGAGGACATCAAGAAGCACTGTGTTTATCTGCTTGAGTGTGCCAGTTTGGAAGATTTTTCTGTCTGCCTGATTATACTTGTCCAGTTAGAGGTGCAGTTTCACAGTCACCCTAATCAGGTCTAAGCTGGTGCTGCCACTGAAAGGACCTCTCCTCTCTGCGGTATGTATGCTTGGCTCTGTTTCTGTTAAGCTCCCTTGAGCAGTGTGGTGAGCAGGATCAATTTCTTTCCTATTTGGAGGGTTAGCTTTCAGTGATAGCTTCCACAATCCAGCTCACTGTAAAGGTCAAAAAAGCACCCATGCCAGCTAGGGGAGAAAAGCAGAGTGGAATGGGCCTTTCAGGGGACATCTGTTGACACTGCCTTGAGCCAGCTGTAGTACTTCACCACTAGACTGCCCCAGGAGAGTAAGATGAGTTTTTTCCCAACTTACCTTAAGACCTGCTGACACCAGTGTTTGTCTGGTCAGTATTGTTCTTGGGTGTACAGATTCTGTAGATCCTGTGAAGGAAATGTTGAAAAGCTTGGGACTATAGTGGTATGTAGAGGCATATGGTAGAACATGTCTGTCAGGTGTCCTTGCTCTCATGGTTAAGGTCAGAGCTTAATTGGCATTTAGATTTGGAGCTGTAGTTGTCATCACAAAGTAAACCAGATTGAAAGGGTGAGTGACTATAAGAGTGCCATTACCTCCCCTCACTCCTTCAGTTGTTAGTCAAGCAATGGGCGATGGGAGAATGGGTCACTCCAGAAAACTGTGTTATACTGCTCTCTAAATCCACACTGCGACTGTGTATATATGCTAGTTCATAACAGGCCCAAGACCGACCTGTGTTAGTTCAGGTGAGGTTATCTTTGCCAGGTGGCAGTTGCAGCAGCCACAAACAGCTCTCCAGAGGATCTGCTTGTGGCTACATGGTGATGGACTGCTGAATTTTGTCCCTTCTTCACCTTTCTGTCCAGGCTTTGGTGTCTTCCTCTTATGTGTGTCTACAAGTGTGCTCAGACACCAGTGATGAAACAGCGCCATGGTAACAGGAAGAATCTGGTTTTCAGTGTGTACAGACGACTATGTGGGGGGAAAACAAAGAAATCCCCTCCTCTGAAGCTGACTTGATGATGTCCCCAGCCCATTTGTTGTAGTTATGCTGGGAGGAAACACGTAGCTTAGGCTGTGTTACCTTGACCGGATCTGCTTTTCTGATCACTACAGCCCGTGGGTCTGACCTTGCACTTTGTGCGGCACTATGCTAAGTTTGGCAGCAGCATGAAAGCATACTTGTCGTGGGCATGCTTTGTTCTGCCTCATGCTGTTTGGCACAGCTGGTGTGTGTTTCTTTTCCTGGGTAGTGAGTTCAGAGGCAACATTCCAGCTTTCAGAGCAATTCCAGGTGACCTACCCATTCCCCGTCCTTTCCTCTCTTCCCCGTCCTTTCCTCTCTTCCCCGTCCTTTCCTCTCTTCCCCGTCCTTTCCTCTCTTCCCCGTCCTTTCCTCTCTTCCCCGTCCTTTCCTCTCTTCCCCTTGACTGGTATTTTTTCTTCCTTTTCCTTTCCTCTCTCCCCATTGATGGCTAAAGGAGGAAGCAGCCAGTGGTGAAAATACCATTTTTTAATATTCTAGTATCTTCTGGGACATTTTTTATTCCATCCCACTGCTTGGAGGGAGACAATGAGTACAGACGTAGATCGGAGCAATTCCACAGTCCTAGAGGACATGTGGTAAAAGGGGTTTGTTTGCTGTTTTGCTGTTTACTGCTCTTTGGGTGGAACCCAGATTCTCTGTTAGAGTGGCTGGAGCAGTGGAAGGATAGTGCTTGTGAGACACTAAGATTTCCAGAGCATGTTGCTATTTTCTGCCTGCTGATAGTGGTCTTTCAAATATAATTTACAGTGCTTATTTGAGGGCTGCTGCGTGATCTAAGCATAGATTAGAATTTTGAACAGAGCAAAGGTTCTACCCACTCAGATTATCAGTGGGGGAAGACAGAAAAATCAGAACGGAAAAAGAAATAGAAAAATATCCCTTCTAGTGGTTTCATATTAACACCAAGATGGAAGATGTGTTTAGGTTAGAGAAAGATACTGCTGGACAGGGTAGTTTAATATCACATAGAAAACTTGGAAGGTCTGAGATGCAAAAATGGTAGATACCTAATAGCATCAATAAATTAATGGAAATTTGCTTAGCTAAAAGTGGAGGATCTTGCTCTTATACAGTGAATTGCACCATTAAAAATTGGTCAAAAGCTACCTTATTACAACTTGGAGCAAAATCCAAAACCTGAGAAAATTATCATAGAATCATAGAACAGTTTGGGTTGGAAGGGACCTTAAAGACCATCTAGTCCCAACCCCCCTGCCAGGGGCAGGGACACCTTCCCCCAGCCCAGGTTGCTCCCAGCCCCGTCCAGCCTGGCCTTGAACCCTTCCAGGGAGGGGTAGCCGGAGCCTTTCTGGGCAGCCTGTGCCAGTATAACAGTATTCCTTTTTTCTTAGGAAAGCAATCATTGAGACTTCCAGTGAAGTCTAAGTAGCCAGTCAGCCTGGGTCATGATGGGATTGCGTGTTGAGTTTTGTCACCTGGATGTGTCATGTTGACACACAATGTGGCTGGACAAGTGCCAGTAGCATCAGAGAATCCCATATTCTGTGTTTGTTTCAGGCCTATTTCAGAAAAATATATAAGCACGCACTTATATCCATTTGTGCTCAGCAAAGCTGATGGGATTTAGAAGGCATACCTGGTATTAAGCATGTGATTTGCTGAAAAGACCATTCAGTGGGTTTTGCTTAGTCAGGGACTTTAACCCTCTCTAACGGAATCGGTGCAGGCAAGGGAGGAGGGATAGTAACCTGTGTGCCTCAGAAACACAGAAGGAGATTGGCTGGTAGGGAACCTCCCGGAGAGAATTTAAGTTTAAAAGTACTGTTACACTTTTATTAAATATTTATATTTTGGTGGTGTTTGGAATCTCCAAATGGGGTCTAGCATGCTGGAAATGGTATGAACTCTGCGGCTGTGGCAGAAGCTTATGAATTCCCCAACAGGAGACAAGTGATGCTCTCTGCGCTCATGTGTTCTGCTAGAAATGTAGACTCCTTTGCTGACATTATGGCTGGGCTAGTGAATCCTTTTGCAACTTTATGCATTTTTATTTTTTAGAACTAATGAGATTGAATCAAAAAGGCCGAATCCTAAATTTAAGAAAGTCTACATTTCTAAGTATCTAGCAGCTGAGTGTCCTACTTCTTGAAACACAGCCAGTGCTATTAATCAGATTGTTATTCGTCGCCCCTGTGCACCGCTTTTTATATCAAAATGTCAGTGGGCTTCAGTAAAGTCACTCATTGCAGCCTTTGTTGAAGGGAACTGCAAATGTACCAGTGCAGTGGATGCAGGGTGCCTGGAGTAACCTTTGAATCAGAAGCACACAGCAGTATCAGTGGATACCCCATCCTAGCTTCACAAGACCCAGCTCCCATCAGGAAGCAGTCTAGCTGAGTTGCATGGGATTGCATATAACCCAGTAAGCCTTTCCGAGAGCCAGAATTTACTGATCAGGTGCAGGGTCCTGTGAAAGCAGCTATACTGCTCCCTCCCCAAGCCGGAATGGCTGCAGGTATAGCTGGGCACAGCTGGCTGCCATGAAATGCGTAGGCCTGTGCAAGCTCGGCAATGTTTGCATTACAAGGTTTCACATAGCTTAGGCATGCTTCACGAAACGGCAGCTTCAATTTCCAAGGATGTGTCAAGTTCCTGGAAGAGGCAGGAAAGTGGTCCACTAATCCCAGTTGCTGGTTTGATACTTCGGTTAGTGATCCAGGTTCTTTGCTAGACGGCTATCGCCTGCTTTTTTTTTTTTTTTTTTTTCTATCTAATTCAGCACCTAATACTACATAAATTATATATTAGTGAAATATTATTTTATAATTAATCTTTTAGAAACTTCAGCTTCTACCATTGGTATGCTTTAAATAACAATTAGCATTTGAGGTTTTTCTTAGTTTCTGAGGTCAGCTAGCACTTGACATTAGTAAACCGACATCTTTGGTAGTTTGTATTACCAGCTGATATTGATACAGGCTAAGCACAAAATTTATTAAGTGTAACACCCACAGTTAGGAAAGAATGTAGATACCTATACACTTAGCATATCGTGCATTAATTAATGTACTAATAGAGACATGCGTTGGCTTTCAGAGAGGATAAATCTCTACTGGGGCGCGTGTGTATGGCTTGCAGTGCTAACAAGACAGTTCTTACTCAGCAAAGTGACTCAATAGCTGGTATAAATATAGCCAGGTTTGGAGTCCCTTGTGCGCCAGGAGAGACTGTATTATAAAAGTTGATGTGGTTTCAGAGACGGAGAAGTTCTTGGCAGAATTTTACCTTATAAGACGATGGGTTTAGGATTTTGCTCTGTTTCGCTGCAAAGCTGCCAGTGGCATCCGAGCCAGTACTTGGTCACATCAGTTGGCGGAGATGTCAGTGCTATTGGCCATGTGTTGGGGATGAGAGGGCCAGATCTCAGCCGGGGAGATGTCTGTGAGCAACTTCACGGCGAGGGCTCTCCAACCTTGAGCTGCGCCTTCGTGACCAAAGGTGGGTAGTGCCAGCAGGCGGAGGAAGTGATCGGCACGGGAGCCCTCCACTTAAAAATCCAGGGAAGGCGTTGATGCCAGGAAGGCCGCTGGTGTCCCCCCACCCCCAGAGTGCTTGTCCTGTTGTCGCTAAGCACTGCTGCCCTGGCCCGGACCGCTGTGCTGCCGCCTCTGTAATCTGGGTCCAATCCCCCTCATCCTAGCCCAGCCTACTCCTAGTTATTTATTTCACGCCATTTAGAAGTGCTACTTGTTGCCAAGGTTTTTTACCCCTCTTTTCCTCCTTATTTGCCAGCGGCAGCCACACGCTGCTCACAAAGGAGTCTGGTGTGATTCAAAGACCTCCGTTACTAAGGTAGCCATGGCAACAGCCTCCTTGGAGGTCTTTGTTGCCTGCTAAAACTTTGATCTCCAAGAAGGGCTGCTGCTGTTTCTCCCTCCTGTTGAAGAGAAGGATGGGAAGAAAGGATAAAGTTTACTCCGAGCAGAGGGAGCATGGAGGAACTCACTGGAGAGCCGTGCTCTCCCAATAAATCTCATGGCAGCTTCCTTGGAAAAGTACCTGATTTACAAGGGCCACACTTCATCTCCTGTGCTTTCCAGCCTCCCCTCAGGGCAGTGTCCCGTGCCAGGGGCCTCTTGCTGTGTCACGGCTTGGCAAATTTTTCCACCATTGAGGAAGAAGTGGTTCCCTCTGTAGCTGCTGCCTCCAGTTGTCCCAGTGCCGTGCGTGGGGCTGCAGAGACAGCCCTCAACAGGGAGACCAGTGCAACAGTTACTCCCATATCTACCCAATATTTATCACATTTATGCAATTGCCTGTATTTACCATGTTTCTGTATTTACCCAATTGCCATGTTCCTGACTGCACCTGCGCTTACTTTATTCATGTCATCATTTCTTTTCAGCTGTACCACTTACCCTAATTATTTTTGTGTCTCTTCTTTGCAGACTCTCTGCTAATTGTCTGCTTGACTCCAGGTTCTCCCAGATCTGCTGCTATTTGCGCTCTCGCTCTGTCACCCACCTGCCTCCTGTGTATTAACTCCTGTCCTCGCTCACCTCTTCTGTATCTCTGCACCTTCTGGAGCCGCCCTGCACCCCCTCAGCTTTTCCTCTCCCATTCTTCCTCCTGTGCTCTGCCAGTGCAGGCTGGGGGGCTCGTGGGCTCCCTCGCACTTTGAGGCTGGCCGGGGCCCGGGACGTGTGGGGTGCCCAGTGAGAGGCTGCTGCGGGTGGGTAAAGCCCCACAGCAGCACGGTGGGAATAGAGACGGGAGCGTGTCCCAGATCGGTGCTGGAATGAGGACAAGCTCCTAGCTCCAACAGAGCTACCCAGGACAACCCTGGTGAATGCGGCCATCGTCTCTTCCCTCTTTCCCCCGGGGGTGTCTGCTGGGGCTCGGTGGTGAGAGCTTGCACAGAGGGCACGTAGCCCTTGCAGGTGGGGACACAGAGCTGCCGTGCCCAGCCACGTCTCAGAGTATCTGCCGTCCTCTTCCTCAGGCGGGCAGAGCCACCGTGCAGAGGTGGTGTGCCCAGATGGTCTCTTGGCAGGATGTTTTCCTAAATTGTTTTTTCCCCACCAATTGCCATCTAGCCCCAGCCCTCCATCGTAACGTTTCCTTAAAAAAAACCACGAGAGAAGTGAGGTGAACTCAACGCCTGTGGAAGGAGCAGCCTGGGCATGGCGAGCCGGGAGGGCACTGGCGGTGGGCGCAGTAGCCACCTCCCGGCTGGCGTTCCAGCCATGGGTTCAAAAGGAGCTCCGACCCGCCGAGACCCTGCCCTCCCTGCCACAGCTTCGGGCGCCGCGGTGCCATCCCGGGCTCCCCTCCGCCGGCTTTGGGGCACGCCCGGGGCCAGGCTCGCACAGGGCAGGCAGGCGAGAGTCAGCGGGGACCCTGGCCCCCCCCCCGAGCCACCCTGTCCCCGCGGCCCCCGGCCGGAGGGCTGGCGGGGTGGGTGCTTTTGCTCCACTTGTTGCGGCGGCAGGAGTGTCGCCTTCAGCGAGGGGCAGTGGCGGGGAGCCTCCCGTTGCCGTGGCAACTGCAGGGCAGCCATGGCAGCGGGCAGCCCCCCCCCCCCTCCTGTTGGCTTCTCCTGCTAACGGGGGCAAGCGCATGGTTGTGGGGAAGCTTTATGGGTGGATTAATTCAGCCCAGGACGGGGCGGGGGGCCCAGGGTGCGTTGAAAGCCGCTGGGGGCACGGCAGTCCGGAGTCAGGCTTTGTGCTTGCTGGCTGTCAGCTGGGCTAGTCAAGGCAACAGGGTTCAGGCTGAGCCGTGGTGGGGTTTGCTGCTGCCTCGGGCCCTCCTGGGCTTTGTGCATTCCCCGATGGTGGCTCTGGGGCCCCCGGGGCTGCGCGGGCACTGGCAGGGCAGGGGGAGCAAATTCCCTATGCAGATACTCAGCAGAGCAGAGGAGTGAGGCTGCACAAGCAGGGAAATACTTCACTTCTCGTAGGTACCACAGAGGAACCACTTTTGTCGTCTTTGTAACAAGTTGCCAAGTCCTCAAGCATTGTTATTTTTGAGGGATGCTTCTTCCCCCTTGAACTTGTCGTTCCTCCTGGAAATCAGGAGGCACCGTAAGACCCAGCACTAGCAGGGATCTAGGCTCTTCGGGTAGGTTCAAAACAAAGCAGGCGCCTATTTGGACTCATGAGATGGAGCTGTCGTTTTTGATAGGTGTCACTCCCTTACTTCTGCTACCACAAATCCCAACCCTCAATTAGCTACATATCTCCAGATATGTGTCCATTGGCGCCTGCTCTCGGACTAGGGCTGCACGTGAGCTTGTGCAGAGATAATAACACATGGGAGGCAAGCTGCATGCCTGTGTCTGCCCCTATGTTCTGCGTGCCTGTGGTTCATGTGTATGTTGTTCACATACACACACAGAGGCCTGTGCAAGAATTGCATATTTTTTTGTGCATGCTGGGAAAATAAGGAATATATTTAATATGCACATGGAACATAAATCTAGCATACTGTGATGCAAGGTATACATTTGTTGCATGTGTTTGGAGCCCACTTGTGGCACCCAAGACTTAAGCCACACATATGTTGTATATGTGCCTATATCTTGTGGGCAGAAAGCATGTATGAGCACTTTCCCATAACAAGCTAGCTGTGAGAAGTTTGGACACTTGATCCTTCCAGAAAATGTACTGCAAAGAATGTCATGAAACTCTTTGTATATGTAGATGAAAATGTTGCAGTAGACTGATGGCAAGAGTCCTCCTTCAAAACAGTAAATTATCTGAAGGATCAGCATTGTATCTTTTGCTAAGGCTTCAGGAGCACCTCATCATGATGGAGTTACTGTGAGTACTAGACAGCTTTGATGAGTTGCAACTGGTTGCAAAGCACTGCCTGCATTCAGACTATGTTTATTATGGCTCCAGCAGGCATCCGTGTGGATTTTTGATCTCTACAGAACCTCTGCTTGAAGCACTGAGAAAAAACGGACAGTGGGAGTTTGATTATAACACGCTTCAAGGACAGACTAGAGCTCAAGGAACTTGGAATCCAGTTCATCATTGTGTCTGAGTGCTGCTTAGTGCAGGACCTGAAGGGCATGTGGGGAGGTTAAAGGTAGCTTTCTACCACTTTTGCACTGGCTTACCCTTAGCTGCTTCTGTTATGTTACACCCACAATGTATGTCTCTCTTCAGAGTGCAGCTCTCCTACTTTGTGCCTGTCTTTAAAAAACCTAGCATGATCCTGGTGCTATATAAAACAGTACACAGCACAGCTGCACATAGGGCAGTTCTGCTGATGCACAGGTGTGTGTAAATTATAGCTGAACACCGTGCAGGATGTTTGCGGCATATTAGAAATATCCCAGATGTTCAGTGCCAAAAAAAATAGGAACCAAGCTGCCTTTGGGCTTGGATTTTGTTTGTAATTCAGTTATAAATTAGAAGTTGACTTGCCCTTTTTTTTTTTTTTTTTTTTTTTTTTTTTACTTTGCTTTGCTTGAGAGTTGACCTTACATCACACAATCTCACCGAGTTGCTCATGCATCCTGAAATAAGTAGCACATACGGTCATGCCTCAAGACTCCTTTCCTGGGGCTGTCTTTGCAGTTTCAGAGCCCCACATGGAGGGCACCACCCACGGGTGTTGGTTGCATGTGGCTGACTTGTCAGGAGCCTTGGGTTAAAGATGTTTCACATCCATCTAAACTATATCAGTACCTTTTAAAAGTAAACTAAATCCTTCTGTTTGAGGGCTGTTGTGCATTTCCAGGAGCTTTTTGCATGTGTAGAATAATTCCAGAAAGATGTTTCCGTGTAACCACGCTAAGGGGACCTCCCTCTTCTTGTCATTTTGTGCCTAGATTGGAGAAGCTCTGTTCCAGATTCTTTCCCCCCAGCTCTCCTGATAAAGATAAAATGCAAGGACACAGAAATGGCAGAAGTGCAGAGGCAGACACCAGGCATCGAGCAGGATGACATCTATGATTGATAGGAATTCACTTAACAGAGTGCAAGTGGGCTGATGAGGAAGGGGACTGGAGCCTAAAGCAGGGGCTGGGGAGTGTGTTTTTCTTGCAGTAACCTCTCTCCTTGTTCTCCTCCTTCTGTCTTTTCTAGGCAGGACAGGGCTGCTTGCTGATCTCTTGCCCAGTTTTGCTGTGGAGATTATGCCAGGTATTCAGTCATTTCACCCTTCAATCACCCAGTCCTCTGTCATATTGTCTGTTTATCCTTCTGCAGCATCTTTGTGGTGTACGTTTCACTCGCGCGTGTGTTTTATCTGGGGACAAAAAGAGAAAAACCTATCGCTTACTGGAAAGGTGTGTTGGGTTGAGATCTGAGAGAGCTGATGCTGGGACTTGGGGGAGGAACGGCCACGCTGGGAGCCAACATGCAGAGATGGTTGGTGTCCTGCCAGGGTCAGCGTGAGAGCAGAAATGCCAGCGCTGTTCAGGGGAGGTTTTATATCAAGCTCCCCGCTCTCCCCCTGCTAGCACAAAAGTAACGCTGCCCCGGCCTGCAAGACCTCTGCAGCCTCGTGTGCCCATATGGCTTTGTACCTCAGCTGCTCTCGTGCAGCAGTAAGTTCCGCTCCCCAGACCCTATCCTGTGGGTACCGTCACAGCCATCACCACAGATGGTAGTGCAGGAGGTGCTAGAAATAGAGCACTGGTTAGCAACCCATCAGTGGCGCAGCCCCCCTTGTGCTGCGTGGCCAGGGCACTGTCTAGGTAACACCAGGTGGTTGGACCAGATGTGAAAGGTCTGTGCCCACGATAAATCCCTTGCTAGCCAAACTAATGAGAGCCACAAGTTCTGGCGCTCCTCGCAGAGGAAACGGAGACTGTGCAACAGATTGTCCTTGAGAGGGAAAAGCTGTGAGAACATTTAGCCCTTGAGTCATCTGATCATCCCCTGACGGTGCCCAGGGAGTGTTTCTTTCACACATTTGTGCAAAAATGCAACTCCACATAAACGTGTGAAGCTATTTTCAAGCCTGTGCCAGAGATGAAAATGGAGAGAAGGCAGACACTCCCCCACCTCCAGTGTAACCCAAAGCTCCCTGGAAGTTCAGCATGGCAGGAGAGGGATTGGTCTTTTCAGAGGTTGATTCTCTGTCGCCTAACACTTTTTTCCCCCCCACTATTTACAATTTTATTGAATGGGTATAAATTTTTTGTGTGTCAGCCAGGTCACTTTCTGGTACCCTCACTGCATGGGCATAAATAAGAAGAAAGTGTAAAAGGTAGCAGCAAACCACATTTCATCTGTCAGCATTGCCTGTTACCTGCATAAACAAAAGCAGATGCTCCTGTAAGACCAAAACAGTAGTTTCCAGGTAGCAAGGACACACAGCATTTCAGCTTGGTATTCATTTGAACCTCAGGGTTGCATAGCTGTATGCAGAACTGGTTGAATCCCAGTTTTGTGCATAAAGGAGGAGCCAGCAGGCTCTTTTGCTGTTTTCTTAACCTCATCAGAGAAGCAAATGGACTAACTTCTTGTGAAGTAAAATCCTACCTGATTCATAGGTCCCTGTAACTGGGTCACTGACTTCAAACATCCACTGCTTTAGCTGAGCGAGTATCTTGCAATGTGCAATGGACATACTAATCTGAGCTCCTGTTATACTTCTAGCACATTTTCAGAGAGACCACAAAGACACTTAGAATGGACTTGCTGTTTGTTTTTTTCCTCTACCAGGCTTTTACCCTTTATGGAGTGGTTGTGAACTGTTGACATGTGAGCTTCATTGCATAGCTGTGGCTGGCCACTTCTGTGATGTGATACTATTTTGCCACCTTCTCTGTATCAGTGATGGTCCTGGAGAAAAAGATAAGAACATGACAAAAGAAAAACCCCCTGAGGTGTTGCCCTGCTTGGATTGCCGTAGATCAGGAAGTACAGGACTGGAAAGGACAGTCTTGCTTGCTATCCCGAGAGAAGTCTGGGTTTGGCCTTCCTCTCCCCCACTGGATCACGTTCTTTGATGTGCTTTTTAGTAAACTAATGAAGCAAGCTTCAGCTCTCCTGCTGCAAGGCAGGCTATTGAGTCCCTTCATCCTCTCAGATCCCTGCTTTGCATCAGCTCCAACCTGAATTCAGCTTTTCTTGTACAAAGATGACCAGAGCTGTATAACATCAGTAACTTCAGATGAAGTTACATGGAGGCCTTGTATGATGGCATTAATATTTCCTTAACGCTTCTTGAAATTGCTCCTCTATTGGGCATAAGATTACATTTGCCATTTTTGTGTCTATACTGCTTAAGTGGTCACAGATGTCCTATGATGGAGCAGTATACTGGATCTTTTTCAGTTGTTTTCAGCTAATGAAGTCCTGTTCAAAACAGAAACTGTTCTTAATCTGAACATGTGACCTTGAAAGTATTGCTGCATACCTTGAAATTTAGTATATTACTGTATTTCATGTTTCTTATTGTAGGCCCAAAGACAACTGGAGCTTTCTGTAACATATCCCAGTCTTCATCTTTAGTGACAATGCTTCCCTGCCTTTTACCGTGAGGATACATTAACACATTCTTATTTTCTGTGTCGAGGTCATTAATGAAAATATTAAATAAGATAGCTCCTAGAACTGACACTTGTGGAACTGTACCAGTAATCTCTCAGCTCTTACTTTTCCATTCATGAATGCTTCCCTCCAGCCATTTCCTTCTCAGCATATACTAACTTCATCAAATAAAATTACTCCACAAGGACCAAAATGATCTGAAAATTGAAATGAAATTCATCTGTTTCAGCCAAAAAAGAAATAAAATGTTCAAAAGATACAAAACATTTCACTTGACACTTCTGAAATGAAGTATTTTGATTTGTAAATGCCAGATCTTTCACTGCCATTTTTTAAGGGAAATTTTATGTTCTAGATGAAAAATGGCATGTAAAAGACTTAAGGAAAACTGCAACAAAGCAAAGAATTTTACTTTTGTTCAAACAGAATGCTGTGGATGAATCAAAAATGACACTTCTTATTTTTGCATTTTATTAAAAACTAGAAAAAGCTTCTGTTTTGATTGTTCCAAGTGGAATGTTTTTCCTTGACTTTTCAGCTTAGCGACATGGGTGAGATGTGCACTGTTTTTACAGTGTGCTCCTGTACTCGCATTGCAATCCTTGTATAAATACTTCTTGATCTTCAGTAATAATGTACTGAGAGACCCCTTAGTGGACGCTGGACTTACGTTTGGAAACAGTGGCCTGCTGCTTTTTTCTTTGCTTTCTTCCTGTGTTTCACAGGTGGTTGAGTAACCACCTGGGTACACTTGGAGTCTCCCCACCAGGGTCTGACTTCTAGATAGGGTTCTTGCATCGATCTGATGTATAACCAACTTCAGGCCTCCTATACGTTCAGAGTCTTGACATTTCATAGCATCACAGAATCACAGAATGGTTTGGGTTGGAAGGGACCTTAAAGACCATCTAGTTCCAACCCCCCTGCCACGGGCAGGGACACCTTCCCCCAGCCCAGGTTGCTCCCAGCCCCGTCCAGTCTGGCCTTGAACCCTTCCAGGGAGGGGGCAGCCACAGCTGCTCTGGGCACCCTGTGCCAGTGCCTCACCACCCTCACAGGGAAGAATTTCTTCCTAATATCTAATCTAAATCAACCCTTTTCCAGTTTAAAACTGTTACTCTTTGCCCTATCACTACACTCCCTGACAAAGAGTCCCTCCCCACCTTCCCTGCAGCCCCCTTTAAGCACTGGCAGGCCGCTGTAAGGTCTCCCTGGAGCCTTCTCTTCTCCAGGCTGAACAACCCCAGCTCTCTCAGCCTGGCCTCACAGGGGAGGTGCTCCAGCCCCCTGGTCATCTTCGTGGCCTCCTCTGGACCTGCTCGAGCAGGTCCATGTCCTTCTTATGTTGGGGGCCCCAGAACTGGACACAGTGCTCCCAGTGGGGTCTCATGAGAGCAGAGTAGAGGAGGAAATCCCCTCCCTCGACCTGCTGGCCACACTGCTCGATGCAGCCCAGGATGTGGCTGACTTCCTGGGCTGTGAGTGCACATTGCTGGCTCACAGTCAGTTTTCCTTCCACTAACACCTCCAGGTCCTTCTCCCCAGGGCTGCTCTCAAGCCACTCATTGCCCAGCCTGTGGTTGTCCTTGGGATTGCTCCAACCCACGTGCAAGTCCAGATGCGTTCACTGACCATTCCCTTAATCCAGGAAATTCCCGTGTGGCAGTAGGTGCAGCCGTGTGTGTGCGATTCCCTGCAAAGCACAGGGTGGCCAGATGCAGAGCCGGGACCTGGGCATGGGCAGGGCACCTGCTCCCACCACGGCTGCTGCTGCTGCTGCTGCAGATTTCCCAGCAGCGAAGCTGAGAAACCTCTTCTCGCTCCCCGTCCCATTCAACTCCTATCCTGAGATTTGTGGACCAGCTCTTCTGTGCTTTCACTTGTAGGGTGTTTTTCAGCTGCTCCCTTTCGGGGCCTGGCAGACATCATGTGAGGCTTCAGCAGGGTAAAAAAAAAAAGTGGTTGTTAGGTTTCCTGGCTGGCTGCAGCGCCTGAATAGGATGTTCGTTCGGCACATTCAAAAGAATAATTGCATGCGTGGGCCTAGTTGCGAAGGGGCAGGCCTGGCACATTTACTGGGCTATTTATAGCATTCTTTTCACCATCGTTTGTCCCATTAAAACTAGAATATGGTTAGGGAACAAACACATAAGCAGGGCACGAACATGGCTGGGAAGAATGAGCCTTTGATGAGATCCAAATGCTCATGGAGCATCTCCTGCAGCATTTGTACAGGTCTGCTGTGGGGTGAAGAGTTCTGTGCTGGGGAACCGGGGCTCCTGCCTCTGTCCTGCTCGCCTCTCAGCCAGCCAGAGATGTCGCAAGAAGGGACCACATTTCTGTAGCTCCATTTCTCACTGTCGTGTGCCATTTCTGCTTCCACACAGAGGGGGGCATAGTCCTAGACCTGCGGGGAATCCACTTCTATTTTTCACCGATTTTGCCCTGTGCTTGCCCCTGGGAGGGTGTTGCATATGTTCCCATCCACAGTGACTGCAATCCTGTATCTCCCTTTCTCCCCTTGTTTTCCAGAGTGGGTCTTTGTGGGCCTGGTGATCCTGGGGGCGTTCCTGTTCTTCCTCCTGGTGGGGATCTGCTGGTGCCAGTGCTGCCCACACAGCTGCTGCTGTTACGTCCGCTGCCCCTGCTGTCCCGAGTCCTGCTGCTGTCCCCGGGCGTGTGAGTCACCCCGTCCAAACCTGGTGCCAAGCTTCTCACGCACTACTTCTGCTTCCCGGCAGAACAGGGGAAGAATCTGCTAATATTGCTTCCTTTGCCCTGAGCGCTTTGCTTGACTAAGAACTAGTTCTTAGGGAGTGAAGCATCTGACCTATTGGTCAAGGGTTGAGCGCTCAAAGTTAATTAACAATGTAATTCCGTGCGCCCTCCCTGCCTTGGCAGGTGTGCTTGCTTCTCCAAAGTGTCATGCTCCCCTTTCAAAGTTGTTGTTGTGTCAGGGAATGCTGTGGGTCAGAGCTAAGAGCATCCTGGGAGGTTTCTTGCCAGCAATGCAAAGCAGCTGACCTCTACAACAGTGCAAAATCATTGCAACCCAGCAAGGTTCCTGGTCAGGCTCAGGCAGATCTGTCAACTTCCATGAGCCTCATCCCTGCTACTTGAGTCATCTGTTGTTTTTAAAGCTAAACTGACACTAAGTCATGGCAGCGGTAACACCACTGGCTGTAACATGCTGAATGTCCTTCGGTTGGTGGCTGGGCATCTTGCAGTGCTTGTCTGAGCTGCTGTGCGCATTTTTCAGATTTCCCTCGGTGCCCTTTGAGGCTTAGAGAAATTGAGATTGGTCCTTGTCATTTCATTTGTCCAGTTGTCTCCTTCTGGGTTGTCGCCAACGTTGGTGATGTGTGGATTTCGGCCACGTGCCGTGTGGGTCTGTGGGAGGCTGCTGTGATGCTGACTGCTGTTCTTTTTCTTTTTCAGTGTATGTAGCGGGCAAGGCAGCAAAAGCTGGGTACCCTCCTGCAGTCTCTACCATGCCCGGTCCATACTACATACCCAGTGTTCCCGTAGCTGGCGTCCCGTCTCCTGCTGTGCTGATGGATAAGTCGCACCCACCTCCCTTAGCCCCAAGTGACTCCAGTGGAGGAAGCCAAAATGGTAATTCAGTCCTTTTACTGGGAGCAGGGCTGGGAAAGGGAGGAATGATTGTCGCTGGTAGAGTGGTATGAACAGAAGAAACACAGAGAAAACTGCATTTTAATCCTGGCTCTGACAATGACATTTGCATCTCTGAGGGCCACATGGTCCAACTTTTCTAGTGCCATCAGTACGGTGTCAGTTTGTGGGTGCCTAATTAGGCCAACAGGGAATGCGAGGCCAGGTTCATGCCTGGGACACCTCTCATTACTGCTGCAAGCGTTTGCTTGTGGAGGACAAAAGAATGAAGGTGATTTGAGCAGAACAGAGGCAGTGGCCATTTTCCCCTTAGAGCTGATGCCTTGCAAGCTGGTCTTTCTTGGTAAACTGTTTTTCCTACCCTCTGTAGGGCACTGCTTGTTCTCTGGCAGCAGTTTTTGCTGCAGTGTGTTTTACTGTCCCCGTGGCATTCTGGGCACGGGGCCATGCTCCCTCAGCGTTTATGCCCAAGAGCATCTGGGGCTGGACCCCCTCCCCTGCCTTACAGAAGTCAGTAGGTCACTTTTTTTGTTCAGCCTTTCCATTTGTGAAATGTGAGTGATAAAAGGCTTCTAACTAGAAGGGACTCGTGGATCAATGTCAGACATAGAGTGTCAGTAAGACGACTGTGTCTTGGTTGGGGTCACTTCTCCCGCTGCAAAGGAAGCTGCCATCAAGGAAAAAAAGGGTAGCTATTTAGACACATGCTAGCATTTCAGGATCAGAGTGGATGTCTAAATTCAAACATGCTGCAGCAGAAGTGACTCTCATCAATGCAGAGTCACCGTACTGACACAGTGTGTTTGCCATTGATCCAGCCACATGTCTGATTTCAAAGCACCGCACTAATTATCAATTGTTGAATTTGCTCATGACAATGTGTTGATAAGTCACTTCAGAAAAAAACAAGATCAAGTAGCATAATCAAATAATTAAGCTTTTGGAACAACCGTACACATCGCTCTGCTGCCCCAGTCAGTGTATTAACCTTTCTGGAATTACAGAAAGTATTTTCCTTCAACAGTCATACCTTTTTTTCCCCACTGAAATCAAAACAGAGCTCTGCAGTAGAGCATTTTGAAATAGGAAATAAATCAATCACTGATCCAAAGCAGAATGTATCCAATTCAAAAACCTTTGTCAGAAAATGATAAATGACAGCCCAGTGCTTAATCTTTTTCTTCCTGTGAAAAATGTTACTGCATGCAGAGCTTGGTGTTGGCCATGGGAACTCCAGGGATATTTTAAGAGTCAGATCACAGCCCCAGTCTCATCTTTGCTGTACATTACTAGCAGAGCACAAATGCAGAATGAAAAATTGTGGATGTGTTTGTTACCAATTGGAACGGCTCTTAGCATCCCATGTTCATTACACAGAAAGAAGCATTTATTATATAATCCAAATCATCTAGCTGGACTTAATCCCTCAACTCAGGACTTGACAGGAAATACCGTGTGTTGCAAATAAAACCATTATTACAGAGTTTTAACTGTTGTGGCAAGACAACAGAGGTTCTTAAGGTTTTTTTATTTTTAATTAATATTTTTTAAAAATAATATGGACAAACGCTTAGAGCATGCACCTGTTGTTAAAGGTGTTCCTTGAACTGTGGAGCTAAGGAAGGGTGATACCCTGCACCCTGTTCCTTTTCTCCTAAGGTCCTCCACAGTGCCAGAATATCCCCTAATTACAGGCTGTAGAAGAGAAAACATAATGTGGCTGTTCCAAGCTACTTATTTGATGGTTGGCCAGACAGCAAGCTAGACAAAACAGGTAATGGTTGAGTTTATAATAAAAGCCTTTTTTTGGAAGGAGCACTAATTACGGTCTCTGTGTCCTCCACGCAGCCAGTGTAGTAGGTTTGTCTGAAACTTGGTAGCTTTGAGACTTGGACCTTTTTGTCAAGTTTATTTAGAAAATTGGGATCAGAAGTGCTGGAGGGCAGAGACTGGAGGATTCTCGAATCCTGACTGCCAGGCTAAAAGGGATAGCCTTTGCCCTAGATAGTTTCTGTGCTTATAAATGGCCCCTGTGAGGTGATCTAGTGAGCAAACTCAGGCATTATATTTAGAAAATTTGTCTAGGGTTACATAAAAGCCATGTGACAAAGATCCAGCGAAGCCTGGGAACTCCATCCTAAACTTAGAGCTGAACAGGGAAAAAAAGAGAGCTGAAAGCTTGGGTTTACTTAGAAGAGTGTTGGAAACGCAGAAGTTAGGAAGTATGCTCTGTCTATTTTAAACGCAGTGGTTACCTGGAGACTCTTGCATAGATTCCTTAAACCATGCACACAGGGAAGCTTTTGATCCAAGAGCCGCACTCTAGACCTTTAATATGGAAAGAGTATAGGGATGAGACATCATTTACTTCCTGACCACACTTGTCTGAAAAAACAGTAGTGCTGTCCTTTCTGGGGAGTGAAACAGCTTACAGTTTTGGCTGACTTGGTTCCACCCACAGAAGAATAAAAAAAGTCTCTAGTTAAATACAAATTAAACATTAGAAATTTATGAACTGTTCAGGAGAAGAAAATATGGTCTCACAGGGAAGAATGTTCCATTCCTTTTGACTTCAGTATATGGTTCTGGACAAGTGGGTAACGTCTCTGCATCTTTATTCCCTTATAATTAAGATGGGCCTACAAATATTCAGACCTTATTAAAGGGTTATGGCACTTTACAGATAAAGAAGGGTGTGAGGAGGAAGCAATAATATCTTTGGTTCTCACATGAAGGAATACTAAGGAGATTTAATAAGTTGAACAGTCAGTATCATTGTGGGAAGTATTTAATAAATAAATGTAGAGACAAAATATAGTTCATCTGTAAGGGAAAATACTTTTTTATGAGCTGTTCGCTGTCATCTTTGCAGATTTAAATCCAAAGTTAATTTCTGGATGCTTACAGAATTAACCAAGAAATTCATTTGCCTTTTGATACACAGCTGCAATAGCAAGTCAGGCGTGAAGCTAGCATGAAGCCTAGTGTATTCTCCATCGGTTCCTGGAGCTATAGATGTTGCCCAAATAGATATTTGGCACAGCCTCAGCATGAGTAGTGGCACTGGGGAGACGGAGTCTGGAAGCTGCCTGTTCAAGTTCCCCAAACATTATTAGTAGGTCAGAGTCATTTCCAGCTGAGGGTTGTTTGCTGGCCTGTGTATCAATGAGGTTGTAGCTTAGCTGTCTTCCTAGTAGGCACATTAGAAGAAAGAATAGCCGGAGGCCTCTTTCCTGGCAAGGTGTCAGACAGACGTCACCCACGATGGTGAGGAGAGCTCACCTTGCTGTGTCTCACGCAGTGCAGCAGGAGTCATCGCTTCTGGCGCCCGCCGATCCAGCCCCGCTTCATAGCAGCAAGCTCACTTCAAGGGACGTGTTGGTCTTCTACTTTGGAAGGCAGAGGCAGCGTTCCTCATGTTCTGTAAATCACTGCGTGCATTTGCAGTCACTGTGCACACATTCCTGGGGGTAATAAAACAGAGCAAAACTCCAGACTGCTGTCAGCTAAGCTATCAGGAGACACGCTGAAAGCAGGGCCCTGGTAGACCCATACTATGTTTTAACATCTAATACCTTTCCCAAGTACAGATACACAAGGTAATATTTCAAGATGTAGTTACTTACCTTACATGTGCGCAATCAAAACCCACAGTAAAGCACTTCCTCCTGAGCAACTTGCAGGATTATTACAGGTATCATTCTACCCACTTCTGTGGCACAGCCGTTTCTGAAGCAGAGCATGGTTATTTAATAGTACACAGACACAGGCGTAGCAGTGTAGGACAGAAGGTGCCTAAGAATACCTCTGCCAAGTCCTTGTTCAGCCCACGCAGTGCACATACTATGCAAGGTACTACCAAACCCATATGTTAGTAGCTTGATTTATTGGGGTGTGGGATAAAACAGAACAGGTTGGCTCCAAACCACCGTCCATGTGTTTAAATGGTGCTACATGAGGAGCACTCCTGCAACGCTGCAGTATTCACACAGGGGAACATACTAACCCCATGCAGGGCACACAGGTTCCATTTTGTAGTGCTAAGTGAATTGTCCTCAGGACAGTCCTCTAATGAGGCTGAGTTTGAGGGTTGTAGTCTCTTTTGTACTTAGACCTGTGTTTCTGTCAATCTTGAAATAGCCCCAGGCTGAGACCTTTCTTGAATAATCTGCTATAAAAGCCTTATTTTCTTCAAAGTCCTGACAGGTGGAGTTCTCTGCTGCTGACTATAGACCTGCCTTGAGGTAGTCGGGCTGTTCATAGGGTTAGGAGGTAAAGTGTGCGTGGAGCCAGTCTGCCAGAGTTAGAGCTGCTGTGGCTCCAGGTGTGTAGGGGCTTCTTTTCTACACTCAGGAATGTGGAAAAGCTGAAAAAGCTGTCCAGACTTCCCTTGCAAATGGAGTAATCCCAGGAGTCAAGCACTTAATGTATGTGTAAGACATACCTTTTCTGTAAAATAAAGCATGTAAAGAACACCCAAGCAGGCAGTTTCAGTTACCCAGTGACCTGATTGGCCCCATCATTGGATTTGGTATAAATCTCAAAGCAGTGTGATGTGCTTTGTGGGACTTTCTGTGTTTTCTTCTGTATTCTCTGGAGCTTCTCCTACCACATGCTCTTCAACCTGTGTGAGCAGAATTCATAGGGATGGGGGAGGGCGGAATGGTCCTGCAGAGTTGACAGCTCCCAAATGCTTAGACACCTGTTTCCCCTGCAGACTGGGAGCTGACGGCCCCTGCTGCAGAGAGGAAGCCTCATCTTCTGGGACTGCTGCTCTCATACCATGACGAATCCTCTCTGTAGTGCTGAGGAAGGGGAAATGAATGCTACTTTTCTCTCCTCCATCCTTTGTGGGAGGTGGAATCACTGTGTGGCGATGACACCACTTGATGCGTTTGGTTGTACAGATTGGACATTTCCAAACCATTTTTGCTGTTACTGCAAACTTTATAAATGACGCAGCTGGTCACAACTTCACATCCCACGTTATAGACAAATTTCTTCTGAGGGAAGGACTGACTCGCTCTGTTTTGGAAGACGCAGCCTACCTGCTTGCAGATGTGACCTCAACTATAAAAGCAATATTGTCGGAAAGTCTCCTTGGACTTAAATGTGTTTTCTTCTAATGCTCTTCTTTTCTCCCTAGCGGTGCGCAAAGGGTACAGGATTCAGACTGACAAGGAAAGGGACTCCATGAAGGTGCTGTACTATGTCGAGAAAGAACTGGCTCAGTTTGACCCAGCTAGGAGGATGCGAGAACGATGTGAGGAACAAGCATGGTTTGATTTTTTTTTTTTCCCCACTGAACTGAAAAAGACTGTAAATTCATAGTTAAAAGTTCACTGGCTTTCCCCTAGAGCCAGCCTCTAGGATATGATGTCCAGGATATGGTGCTTGGGGCACATAGTCTAGATTTTCAGCATCTACAGGTATGTTCTGTTTGTAAAGATTTGCTCTTTACTTAATCATCCTTAATTAGAGCAAACAAGGTGAGGGATAGTCATATGCTCATGAAAATTGTCCACTTGGATAATTAAACTTTTGGATCATCAACATCTGAAAAGTCAAGTCCATACTCATGCCTTCTATGGCCTGTGGTGTGTTAATAGGTGGGATATTGTCCTCACAATTTCAATATGTCTTATAGTGCAGTGCCTGTAAATTCCCAGCATGGCAAAATAGGAGGGATGATGTTATGGAAAGCGTGGTTTGTAGGTTGCAATGATGACAGCATGGTTTGAAGAATGCAGAAAGGTAGTTTGGAATAGTAACAGGTCATTGCCCTGTAGAAGGAGCAGGGACTACAAGACTCAAGATCGTCAGATTTTGTGACACTGGTCAACATAAAATCAGAGGTGGTGCACACATCAGTATAGAACTGTAGCGTCATTCAGGTTGGAAAAGACCTTTAAGATCATCAAGTCCAACTGTTAACCTAGCACAGCCAAATCCAGCACTAAACCATGTCCCTAAGCACCACATCTACACATCTTTTAAATACCTCCAGGGCTGGTGACTCAACCACTTGGGCAGCCTGTTCCAGTGCTTGACAACCCTTTCAGTGAGGAAATTTTTCCTAATATCCAATCTAAACCTCTCCTAGTGCAACTTGAGGCCATTTCCTCTCATCCTATCGCTTGTTACCTGGGAGAAGAGACCAACACCCACCCTGCTACAACCTCCTTTCAGGTGGTTCTAGAGAGCAATAAGGTCTCCCCTCAGTCTCCTGTTCTGCAAGCTAACCAACCCATTCCCTCAGCCGCTTCTCATAAGACTTGTGCTCTAGACCATTTGCCAGCTTCTGACAACTTGGCAGTCAAGACAACTGCAGGTGAAGGGGAGGAGGATGGTGAATAGGGTGCAGTGGCAGGACAAGGTGTGTGCATGAGGAGGGCTTGCAGTGCTGCTCTTTGTCCTCTAGCAGTTCTGTGGGGAGCCAAAGGGCTGGGGGCTCAGTTCCTCCAGGCAGCATTTAGCTCACACAGAATTAACTCACATTAAGCACTGGTAGAGGCTCATTTAAAACAGACGCGTGAGATCCTGCAAATCAATGAAGGCAAGGGCTTTAGGGACTGACACTACATCAAAGCTCTGTACAGATTAGGCATAACTAACAAATTATATATACTTCTAAAACAGTCATTGCTGAGCACACTGTCTTCTCCACCCACAAGATTTACTATAAAAAGACCTCTCCAGATTGGTACGTTAGGCCTCCAGATGTCAGTGTGCTTGACGGGGTAGAGACTGACAGTGATTCACACAGTCTCTTACTTTTTTCTTAATCTTTTTTTGAGGGGGTTGGTTTTGTTTTAGCTGGGCAAGTCAGGCCAAATCTAAAGCCAGCCTGTCTCACACCAGGAAAGGAGGGAGGTGGCACAACTGCTGTGATGATGTTCTACCAAGCTGGGTGCCCACCTCGCAAGGGTGGAGAGCTCACATGTGTTACTGCAGCAGGGCTGAGGGGTGGATTTCTGCATGAAGGCTGAACGCCGTTATCTGGAGCAAAGGCATCTGATGCCATTTGCAACGCCCTTAGAATATCCCACTTGGCTGCTAGCTACCAGTTCAGAAAACCCGTAGGTCTAACAGCAGCTCTATGTCCAAACTGAGCCTCAGGAGTCTTGGGCAGGATCAGTCAAGGGTTTGGAGAAGGGCCTTGGGTTCCATTTTGATCTTTTTCTACGACGGGTAGCTCAGCTTCTTCCTGAAAAGGCTGCAGCTGGGCTCACCACAGCCCTCCTGTCCTCTCCTCCTCGCTCACACATGCGATCAGGTGACGCCTATCTCACTTCTTTTCTGCAACCGCCCCTGCAGATAACAACACCATCTCTGAACTCAGCTCTTTGCACGAAGAGGACTTGAACTTCCGGCAGCCCTACCGCCAGGTGCGAAGGAAACCTCTGCCTGCTGCGGGGGACCTGGATGGTGATGCTGAGTACTGGGCAGGAGTGGTTGGTGGGGGCAGCACGTCAAGGTCGCAGGCTGTCTCCGATTACAGAGATGAGCGGGACAGTTTCCGGCACAGGTGAGGAGTGCTGTGTTGGGAGGCAGCTGTACCTGGCAAAGTCGTAAAGAAAGGGGAAGGGACAGATGGGCTGGTAGCTCTTCTCCATTTCCTGCTACTCTGGTTCTGTTTAGCAGGACAGAAGGGTTAGAGAGAAACATAAAATCTGGAGATGGCAGTAGATGAGGCCAGAATGAATCTGATTCCCACAAGCCTCCTGAAGCCTACCCAGCTGCAAAGCTAGGTACCAGCCCCACTCCAGGTGAGATGTAAAAGAGATCAATAAGAAACCAAGCCGCCCTTCTCAAAGTGCTCTTGAGATTTGTACCAGATCTCTCCAGCACTTGCCAGTGCTGGTGTGCTTTATTAGAAGTCACACCCTGGTGCTTTGGTGCAGTGAGACCTCTACTCCGGGCCTAAAGGACTGGCACTCTGGTGCCTAGAAGAGAGATACTGCATTTTTCTCTCACATACTAACAGCCCAGGCTCCTGAAAGCAACGGCAGGGATTTCCTTCCCTCAGTACTGGGCTATTGTGCCAGCTCACTCTCTTTAAACCTGCTTTCAGTTGGCCCTGCTATGGGCCTCTGTAGCCAGGCTCTTGGGTTTTCCCAGCAGGAGATACACCTGCAAGCTTTGGGGCCAAGGAGAAGGAGGTCCAGCCCTGCATACTGGAGGATGAGGACTTTGGGGTTAATCTCGGGTAACATTAGACATGTAGAGTGAGCTATCCGCACTAAGCTGCGAGAAGCAGGGATTCTGAGGATGTAATACATCTCTTCTTACAGAAGATGATGAAAACAGGTCAGACGAGTCGTGCCCCAGGAATGACTGTTTCCCTCCGCTGTCTGTGAAGGCAGCCGAGGGGATGAGCGCAGCTGAGTCCTGCCCTCTAACACTACCCCTTCCCTCCTCCAGCCAGCAGAGATCCAAGTCCGAGATGTTGTCCCGTAAGAGTTTCTCTGTGGGAGTGCCGGCCGTCTCGATGGACGAGCTGGCAGCCTTTGCAGAGTCCTACAGCCAGCGGACCCGGCGGGCAGACAGCCAGGAGACTCGGCGTTTCGAGCGGTCAGAGTCGCACGGCGGCCGCAGCGGAGGGCTGCCCCACCAGGACAGCTCCATGGAGGAGTACTACACCAAGCGGAGCAGAGGGAACCGAGAGCCGCTGACGGACTCGGATCGGGGCTGGTCATATAGCCCCCCCCGGAGACGGGCCCACGAGGAGAAGCACCTGCCCAGGCTGGTGAGCCGGACGCCCGGAGGCAGCCAGAAATACGATCACTCCTACCTCAGCAGCGTCTTGGAGAGGAAATCCCGGAGCTACGATGAGAGCGGTGACCGTTGCGAGACCCCCTCAAAGCTGAGCTCGCAGCCCAGCCAGAGAGGAGGGGGAACATACTATGCCTGGTCACCACCCTCTACCTACAAAGCCGAGAAGTCGCAGCAGCAGGCGCAGCAGCCGCCACCGCCGCCTCAGCAGGAGGAGGGGGAGGACAGCCTGCCCCCGTACAGCGAGAGGGAGCTGAGCCGAGGCCCTTCGTACAGGGCCAGGGAGCAGGCCTACCTCAACGCCTCTGACAAGAAGAGGAAAAAGGACCCCAAGAAAACTGTGAGGCCGTGTCTGGTGCTCCTGATCCAAACAGGCTGAGTGGGGAGCCGCCAGGCAGGGGTTACTAACGGGAGTTGACGGGCAAGGGGGGTCTGCGGGAGGGTAAAGTCTGGAATTCGAGTTTGGGGAACCCTAGATGAGGGGAGTCACTGTGGGTGTAGGAGGCCAGAAAGAGAAATAGCTCCTACACAGGACTTCATAATGGAGGGGAAAGCCAGATGGGCCTGGAGCAGGGCAGGTAAGGGATGTTTTTGGCATCTGTGGCCTGGTGATCCAAGGGAGTGGGAGTTTATCTAGGGTTTAGGAGGATCGTGGTAGGGAAGGGAACTTACCAGGGCTTGCAGAAATTACAGAGCATTGCTTTGGCCTTGATCGCTGTTACGGAAGGGTCGGGAGGCTCTGTTGTTCTGAACTGGGACAGGGCTGGTAGCTTCAAGGCACGGTGTAAGAGACCTTGTCTTTCTGAAAGGGGTGGGATGACGGACTTCTGCGGGTGCGTGACCATGCGCACATGTAGGGGCCACGCGTGCCAGAGGCACCCCTCACACAGGACACCAGCAAGTGCAGAGTGTCCTGCCACAGTCCGGGCTAGTGGGGACTGATGAGTTCGTGGTTGTTGGGGAAGGGGAGCTGGCTGAAGTCTGCTCCGTGAGCGAGACTTTGTCACTAGAGCAGCTTGGACTGAGCTTAAGTGGCATGTGTGAGACAGGAAAGGGGTGGGAGTAGACAAAGTTGTTGCTGTCTGGTTGTGTCTCTGTCAAAGCCATGTCCATCTCTTTGTCCATTCCACGGGTGCTTTCCTGTTGACAATAATCTTCTCTCTTTCCTCTCAGAACGATTTCCCAACGAGGATGTCCCTTGTGGTTTGAAGTTGTTGTGGACGTGCCATGTTGATGGACTGGACACCAAGAGGTGACTTGCAGCGGAAAAGATACAGAGCAACAAGCAAGACGAGCCTCCGTGAACCTTCGCAGCCATCAGCTGTGGACTCTTTCAGTTGTTTCATCGCAGGAGCAGAGGCTTTTCTAAGAGACAGGCTCCCATGAACAGCACTCGATCTCAGAGGCTCTGGGAGTCTGCCAGGAAAACGAGGCCAGGGCTGTCTTCGGCACCCTGTTTTCCAGTGCCCTCCGTTCTGCGCTGGAAGGCAGCCACGTCCCTACTGTCCCTGCAGCCCTGAACTACACGCGAGGCTGCCTTTGTGCCTCCTGCCCCTTTTCATGTGCAGAGAGAGGCTTGCGTGCATTCCTCTTGCTCTCTCTGTCTCCTCAGCTCTCTGTTTGAAACAAAATTGTCTCCATACTTATACCTAAAGCCTTTTCTGTATCATCCCCATGTTGGGAGGAGGCCTTGTTCTTACAGCTGCAGACTGCCTCCAGCTGATCAGGCCCTAAATCGTGAAAGAAAATCTATACCCTTTCAGACACTATAGAAAAGGACTGATGACGTGTTACTTGGGCAAGGGCTGAACAGAGAGAAGGACAATTACGGGCTGGTTTGTTCAATATATTTAGTTCTGTTCATTGTGTGATGAGAGTTGCAGGTGAGATTGATACATTGTTTTGAAAGTGGATCAAAGTAGCTTTTATTGTGATGAGAGCATGATGTGTTTTTTCCCCCATCCCTAACTGTGATCTGTTTTGATACAGTTGCATTTCCTTGCAGCTGAGCTATGACCCTGCACAGCTTCAGGCAGGAATATCTACCCCACCGTATCATGAGCGGTGCTCCAGCCTTGCTGGCACGCTGCTTCCAACACCACCAGGCATCTCTGCGTAGTGAGTGGCCTTTTTGTTTTACAGGAACAAAAAGGGGAAAGTCTCAGTGAGAGGGCAGCTGTGGAACTTCTTTCTGTGCTACTGGTATTATTCCTTTCTGGTCATTGTTCCCAGACACTGAAGAGAGCAGTAACAGCAATGGGAAAAGAATTAACACTGTGGATGGACACAAGCTTTGAAAGTCACCTTTTTCACTTACAACTGTTCTATTCACTTCAGTTGTGACATGGTTTTAGTGGCTGTTGTCTCAGGAACAGCTGAATTTAGAAGTGAGTGCTTCATACCATTTGGAAGCTGACATTCTGGTTTTCATAGGGTATACTGCAGTCATTTCTTTCATTTTTAGCTGCTAAAATCATAATGTGAAGGAAGATGATGGGAACATTTTAAGGTCCAGTGTCTTGATCCCTATTATGTCTAGAAACTATTTAGTGCCCTGTTGTGTTATGGACATTGTCAGCCTCTGAAGTGCCATCTCTGTTGTTACTCTGGAAATTTGGGGAGCTGTCTGGCCTCCGGTGCTCACTCTGGCAATGCTGTTTTGAACACGAGATTTATTAACATCACTGCAGTTCTCCATAAAAACAATACTAATTTCTGTATTACTCCTTAGCCAGATCGGTTCACCAGGAATGGTCAGTGGAGAGGATGAATAATCTCCATAGATTTCATAACAGCAGTTTTCATGCTAGGTGGTGAACTGATGAAAGGATGGCTTTCTTCTCCTCCCACGCTCCTCTAGCAATGACTGTAGTTTGGGAAATGCCAGTCCTGTGTCTTTCTGGCCAGAGAAGGATTAGCCTGCAGGGGCAGATGGTCGTGGAATCATAGAATGGTTTGGGTTGGAAGGGACCTTAAAGACCATCTAGTCCCAACCCCCCTGCCCCGGGCAGGGACACCTTCCCCCAGCCCAGGTTGCTCCCAGCCCCGTCCAACCTGGCCTTGAACCCTTCCAGGGAGGGGGCAGCCACAGCTGCTCTGGGCACCCTGGGCCAGCGCCTCACCACCCTCACAGGGAAGAATTTCTTCCTTCTATCTAATCTAAATCTGCCCTCTTTCAGTTTAAAACCATTGACCCCAATAAAAAGTCTCTCTCTGTCTTTCTTATAAGCCCCCCTCTAAGTATTGTAAAGGCTGCAACAGGGTCTCCCCAGAGCCTTCTCCTCTCCAGGCTGAACAACCCCAACTCTCAGGAGAGGAGTTTCATCCCCCGGCCTGTATGGATACTGGGGGTTGCTCTAATTTGGGCGCAAGACCTTGCACTAGGCCTTGTCAAACCTCGTGAGGTTCACACAGGTCCACTCCTCAAGCCTGTCAGGGCCCCTCTGGATGGCATGCCTTCCCCCTAGCGAATCAACCACACCACTCAGCTTGGTGGTGCCCACAAACTTGCTGAGGATCCACTCAGTCCCACTGACTATGCCATTAATGAAGGTACTGAACAGTACCAGTCTTAATACAGACCCTTGAGGGACATCACTTTTATTCCTCTCCATTTGGACATTTAGCGCAACTCTTTAGATGCAGCCATCCAGCCAATTCCTTATCCATCAAATAGTCCATCCATCAATCTCCTATCTCTCCAATTTAGAGACAAGGGTGTTGTGTGGGGCTGTGTCAAAGGCCTTACAGAAGTCAAGGTAGATGACATCAGCTGCTTTTCTCCTTACCCACCAACGCAGTCACTCCACTGTAGAAAGCCTCCAGATAGTCGGGCACGATTTGCCCTTGTGAAGCCATGCTGGCTGTCTCTGATCACCTCCCTGCCACTCACATGCCTTGGCAGTTTCCAGGAGGATCTGTTCCGTGATCTTGCTGGGCACAGAGGTGAGGCTGACTGGTCAGTAGTTCCCAGGGTCCTCCTTTTTACCCTTTTTAAAAATGGATGTGATGCTTCCCTTTTTCTAGTGACCGGGGGCCCAACTGCCACGACTATTCAAACAGGGAGAGCAGCTTAGCAACTACATTTGCCGGCTACGTGCCAACTACATCTACTTGTATTATGGCTGGAGAGACTAAATGTTAAGTATTTTCACCTTTTCTCATCTTTAATGCATCTTCCTAGGAAAATTACAGCACATTAACAGGAGTTAGGCAGGTGGTTGCCATCTAAGGTCTCCATGGCCTTGAAAAGTCTACAGAGCTACCCTACATGCTATTTTAAATGAAACATTTCATCCCTGACATACGATGATGCTAGCAGCAAGAAATGTTTGTTTTGTTAGTTTGAAAACCTTGCGAAACACTATGCCATGAGTTTCAAGGGAGTTTAGCCTGCTCTCTTTTCTATGAGACACCCAGCAGACCAGGAAACATTTTACGCAGAAGTGTGAAAGTGCAGCTTCAACAACAACTGTGTCAGAAAGGGGCTAAACCGGTGATTTACCAGTCTCTGAATACTCGTATCTTTTAAATCTTACTGAAAGCCAGAGCATCACAATCATCGCATTTCAGTTATTTCTGTCTCTTATCTCAATCTTTGTAGTTTATTTGGTCAAGCCCTCAGGAATGGGATGTGTGTATTAAAAATACAAGCCTTCCCCTTGTTTTTTTGAATCAGTTTTGTTTGCTCGATGCTAGTACTTTAGGGCATTTGTACACTATGTGTAAGAAGTTGCCATTTATGTATCTAGCTTATAAATAAGTAGTTGCAAGCTAATTCTCTTAAGAAAACTATTTTAATTGTAGAAACAATTGTTCATTAGAACTGACCAACATTTCTTTTGAATCCATGTACCTGGAAAAGTGTTGAAGATTTTATGACTAGTGATTTTTTGAGTTTTACCAGATGATAAAAATTTCAGTCTCAAAAAACCAGCAGGGCTTAATTCCCTGAAGACGGATCTGGGCAGCACCCAACAGCTGGCTCCACCTTGCTCTAAAATTTTAGATTTCATATCTGCCCATAAAAATCTGAAGGAATTTTGTGTTACCGATAGTGCCTGTCCTCAGGCCGTTTTTATTTTTCCCATTAGAAATGTGTCTGCAGCAGCACCAAATGGACCAAATCAAGAAGTGGGGGGTGATGTAGAGTAGGGCTCCCATCTCTTTAGCTACCCAGCCCTAATGACCCATGACTCTTGCAGCAGAGGGGAGCAGGGGGCCGGAGGCTGATGGAGAGGCTGAGAGGAGCCTCTGGTTTCGGAAAAAAAGTAATGGTTTGTGTCCGTGCCATCTTTCAGAACACCTGCAGAATGCTGGCACTGGAAAATAATGAGCCTGGTTATTATGAGGTCTCAAATTATAAATTTTCCAGTGATCAATTTTTATCACTGGCATAAAATTAAAATCCTTTTCGTATAGGATATGGATGTCTGGGTCATGTCAAGGACACGGATGGTTTTGTGGCCTTAAAACAAAGAAACAAAGCATCGCAACAGTGACTTGCTAAGAAGACAACTGAGATGATGAGTGAATCCTGTAAAAAAGAAACCAAACAGAACCCTTAGAGCAACAGCGGAATGCAGGATCAAGCATAAGTGGTAAATTTGGCTGTGCTGTCAAAAATGTGATCTGGGCTACTGAAAAGTTTTGACATAATGGAATGGGAAAATAAATACCAATGGTAATGACTTCTCAGCAATCCCATTACTCCTTTAAAGTACATCGTAAAAATTCCAGTGGGTGGCTTCAGTGTGAATATCTTCAGACCACTCCATTTCCACTGAAATGAAAAATTAACAAAACTAGCACTTTGAATACTTAAAATTTTTGAGCAGCTCCAACATACATCACCTGAGGCAGCCAGCCAGAATTATTTAGGTCTTTGTGCTGGTCTATAATATCGGGGACTGGAACTGTAAGCACTCCAGCCTTTGTTACTGTTAGTAGGTCAGAGGTGGCCATCGGCAGCCGGCCTTGGCAGCTGTGGGTGCCAAGTTTCCCCAAGAGGTCCCAGCTCCTGCGCTGGCTCCCTCCGTAGCTCACTGAATCGTGGTTTTCATGCTGGCTTGTGACACTGGGGACTTGCTGCCCGTGGCTCAGCAGGGACACTGCTTTCCTGCCCTTTTCCAAGCAGCCCCCTCTAGGTGGGCAATACCAGTTCCCCTGTAACATAAGACAAATGATTTCACAATCACCAGAGATGTTTATGTGTCAATCCCCTCCAGAGTTACCTAAAACTGGCCAGAGAATTTTGGGGGAGGGAGGAGCAGAGAAAGTATCAGGCACTCTAAGATGGAACTGGCCTTTTGCACGGAGGACAGAAGGGGCACTCTGAGAGCATTTTTTTCAGAGTTTCAGGAGAGTTAACCACACATGGATGCCATGACTGGGCCGTGAGCAGCTCCCTCCGATAACAGAGTGACCTGACGTTGTGCAGGAGAGCGTTGCTTGGTCAAGTTGCTGGCCTGCTCCTACAGTTCCGCGTTGTCCTGAGCAAAGTAACTGCTAAGGCTCCATGTATGCGAAGAGGACTGTGTCTCCTGAACCGAGATCCTTCCCAAAGCTGCTCCTCTGGTGAGGTGCAGGACAGGCCCTGGGCTGTACAAATATCCATCCCTCAGAAGGAGCAATCACAAAACATTTAAGTCAAACCTCGCCACAAACTGTGATGGGTACATAAACAACACCACAGTGTTTATCATGCCTGAGCTATTCTGAAAATAATTTTAATGTTGTGGAGATTGTTTTGCTGAGAAACTGCTTGGAGCTATCTTCCTTTTTCTCCAGGGAGCTCTCACATCAAGAAGTGGGTGAGGATCTGTTCTGTGTCACTAAGTATGGGGTTTGGGATAGGTGGAAACAGAAGCTAAAGGGGCTTTAGCTCATTTCTTGACTGGGTCCAGGAGCAAAGAGACCTCTGGCATCAGCCAGGTCT